CCAAAATGTTGGCTTTCCTTGCAGCCCTCCTTTTTCTCTAATTTTGGTCTGCAAACTTAGGTTGTTAACCATCCAGAAGACAAACTTATTGTTATTACCATACAACTTAGGCTGTTAAGCTTAACCTCACTATCTGTCTGTATATCAAACATCTTAGGCATAATACGGAACAGGTATTTTTCATCAAGTATTGATATGTTGAACTTTTAAGTCCCTGCAGAATATGATAGAAATCATTTAAAAATTAGAATATATTTTAAAAATAGGCATAAAGAATTATATACTTCTTATGTTTACACATAACTCCAAAAATCTCACCATATACAACCTTGAAGCAGGACAGTCCCACATTATTCCTTTTCCTGTCTCTTGCTTTCATTTATTACCCCCTTCTTTTTGAACAACTATCTACCCGACAGACATCACATCGGCAACTGGCATGTCATGACAAGCAGCCCATATTCAGAAGACCAGAATGACCGGCACTCCAAGCATGAAACTATTACAAATTACCATCTGGAGTGCAGTAGCTTAGTTCACAGGTATCAGTATATATAGTTAGTCAGGGAGAGAATCTTTCCAATTAACTGCTAGATTAAAAAATCTTCTGAAGATTCTCAGGATCATTGCCTTGCTCATCTTCTACATATAACTGTATGGCTTGACTTATTCATGTATCCTAACTTTTCCTTTCCTTCTTAGTTATCTTTTAAAATGGAGGAAAATTGAATCTACTTGAATCTTTTATTTAGTGTGTATGCTCTAAATTGATGTATATATTTTGTTCAATTTTTAGAGGAAGAAGAAAAGTACAGAAAGTATTCTCCTGAAGAAATTCAGAGAAAACGACAAGAAGCACTGGTTCGGAGAATGGCCAAATCCCAGGCATCATCTGTAAATTCTTCTCCCATTCAGTTTCTTTAAACAAATTTTAGTTGCAAGACAAAAATGTTGACTATCCATGATAGGAAGATTTTTTTTTTAATTTCTCTATGAGAAAATTAATAATGTCTTATAAAGTATAGACTTCTGTATTATTTAATAAACCAATGTTTGCAATGATAAATGAAAGTTTGGAGATAATGTGAAAATAATTATGAATTAGAGAAATTCAGGAACATTAGGAATTATATAATAAAATTATATCTTCACTTTGCAGAGAATCAAAAAATAAGTAATTACCTAATTTTTTGTTTTGTCTTTTTCCTGATACTACCGAGTTTTGAATTCCTAAGTTAATAAGCACTACTTCCAGTTTTATTTTCACTAGCTGTTACTTAAGGTTTTCATACATTCCCAAATTTTAATTCATACTTCCATTTTCCCAGGAATGTCCTTGCTAGGAAATAAGAATGTCAGTTTTATTTGTAAGTAAATTACCATTTTCAGTTCATAGTCAAATGTTATAGTTTGGAAACTCCATCAGTTTTAGGAAAAACACTGGTTTAGGAAGTCTAGAAAAAGAAGAGTAGATTAGCTGTCTGCAATAAGTAATTTAAAGTCATTAAGATTTAGAACTAGCAGAACCTTTAGATATCATCTGATCTACCTTGTACAGATGAGAAAAATTACTTTTGTTATTTTCATCACAGACAAATTAAAGTTGTGCTTGTATGAGAATGATCTCTTTGAATACCTAAACTGTTAATACCATTTGTTTCAAACTAGTAGTCTATAAAATAACTTGAGGGAACATTAATTATTTTACACTACAAAGAATATAATTAAAAGCACATCAAGGACTATTTTAATAGCAGTGCTTATTGTTCCTTAGTTTAAAGAATTAATCTTGCCAGGATATATGAACGAGCTTTCTCTTTTTAGTTTTCCTGTAACTGCAGTTTTCCCAATTAATTAGCTTTGCCAGTGTGTTCCCCTCTTCCTTCTTGGAACTTGTTGTGCCAGTAATAGCAGTCTAAGTAGAGGACATATGACAATAAGAATGCTTTATATCTCTTAAAAGATTTTAGGAGACCTAAAGGAGATTACAGATATGAAATATATTGGTAAGCTTTTCAGCACTATTCACTTGTTTTAGAACTACAACATGGTAGCTCTTGTTCTTCAGGAGTGTATCGTTTTGTACATATTGTTGTATTTTTGTATATAGACTAACAGATTTTAAGTAGCCTATCATATTTACCTAAAATATATATTACAGGTAAGTTTATATGTAAGAAAATGAAAAGCTCTTTTTTCTAAAGTAGCTTCACTGTATTTTGCCTACACTTGGAGTATCTGTGAATAAATTTGAACGGAATCATGTTGCAGAGACTCTGCCTTGCCCTACTTGAATCATTTTGACTCTGGGTCCCTGAGGCTTAGAACTGAAAAATGTTTCTAGCAATGATTTAAATTTAGTTCATAGGGCCAAGGAGATCGCTCAGTGGACCAGGGTTCCATCCCTGACACCACGTGCCGCGCTGTCCCCGCCCCGGGGCATGCTGAGCCAGTGACCGAGTCCAGGTGTGGTGGTGCACACCAGTAATCCCAGCGCTGGGAAGGCTGAAAACAGGAGGAGCACTATGAGTCTGAGCTGTTTAGTCAGACCCTGCACAAAAAATAAGTTTAGTTCAGCGCTTGAGTAATTGTGAATAAAAATTTAAAAATCTGACATAGTTTTCAATTACTATTGCCATTGTGATCATAGTCACATGTCAGATTCAAACACAAAATGTTGAACTTGTCATTGTGCCTTTTTAGCTCCTCACATGAGCACATATGGAATTGAGTTCAGGTTTGCCCCATTTTGTTTTCTTTTCTTTGTTTTTTTCCCCCTTTTAAAGTCCTAAAGAAAATCATATTTGGTAAACCCAACATTCATAAATGTTTCATTTACTAGAAGTGGTTCTAAGCATTTTACATATTGAACTCATTTACTTTTCAAAACAATCATACAAAGGAACATTTTTATACAAGTAAGAAAGTGAGCATAACTTTGTCAAGATTACACAATTATGAACAAGTTGGAGCTGAAGTTTGAACTCAAGTCATGTGATACCAGAGGTTGTGGGTTTTTTTAAGGTGCAGGTCCGAGTTTATTAAACATGACCTGGAGGAGGTATAGCACACATAGCAGCATGCAGCACCAAACTGAATTCAATCTGAAGATTTCTGACAAACACCCAGTAGTTCCACATGCGGCCGGTTCCTGGTCTGTGGCATAGTGGCCTGGCAAGAGTGGAAGAGTCTCGGCTGGGTTTTGTAATGCTCTCTGTCTGGTTTTCAAAGCCTGACCAAAGGTTTATTGTTGAGTCACCATCGTAGATACAACTGCAACTAGAAAGATGGCTGTGACAACAAACCAAGCCCTGGGTAGCAGTTCTGATGAGCATCAGGAACTGGGGCTTCTGTCTGGAGCCTGGATGAGAACAGTGCAGGCCATAGGCAAGGGTAACCGGGGGTCTGAGCAGCTGCCGCTACCATTGGGTCCTCATGTCTTGAAAGGAGCTTTTCCTTGAAGACTGTTCCCATAGACACACACTAAAGCTTTCAGTGACCAAGGACATCATTAGATCAAAGAGATCCTTCAAGAGTCACAGGGCCAGGAGTTATTGTAGTCAATGTAAGTATGAGAAAAATCTCAGAACTGTGATGGGCAGGAGGACTGTGTTGCGGTTTGAGCCTAGGACCTGACACTGAGCAAGAGTTCCCCGGCTCTTGTTTTTCGTTTGAGATAGGACTTATATTGCCTGGGTTGGGCTCAAACTTGGAATCCTCCCACCTCTCTGAGGTTGGATGCCCCTAATACCAGGCTGTGATTTTAAATGCTGATTATACTGTCAACTGTGGAAACAGCTTATAACCACCAGTGATCGCTGGAAATGATCTGTCTATACAGCAGAATACTAAAGCATTTCAGTGAGTTGTGTCAGAAATTTCCTGAGTACTCTATAGATCTCTTTTCCAACTCAAGAATTTTTTTTTCCTTTTGTAATTCATGTTGCAAATGACTGTTACACTTTAAATGTGTAAATACTGATTATGTGAATGTCCATAGAGGTTGCCTTTTTTCATTTCAACTGTTAGCAGAATGGGGAATAAAGTGTAGTTATTTTTAGCTGTCATCATTTTACTTCATTATTTTGGTACTTTCTGGATGATGTGGCTTTAAATCTTTTGAGGACAAACTCATGCCTACTGTAAAATATAATATACCTCAGTACCTTAGCAATGGTGAACCTATGACGTGTACTATAGCAAACTGTTTGTGTCATTGAAAACTAAAGGTTCCCCATCACTGGTATCTCAAGCTGCAAGTAAAACTCCAAGGTGAGTAGATAAGTGAATGTTTCTAGTTAGATGTACAATATAGCAGTAATGGTATTCAAATATTTTATAGGCCTTTTTATGCTCTAGGTTGAAGTCTAAAAACTTTGCTTACGTTCATTCTTTCTATTTGTATTTACATATTAGATACATTTAAACAAAATGAACTGTCACATGTGACTAGGCATCTTTATGAAAATATTTTCTAAGAAACTGGTGACAAAAATATTTTGTTTTCTGTTTTTGTTAAGTCTTTGATGTGTGACTTTACATCAGATAGCTAGATTCATAAATGTTTCTGCATTTAATTTGTTACAATGTTGTTATAGTTGAAATACGTGAAGAAAGTCCAGTCTCACACAGATATGTATAGTAGTTGGGAAAGGAAGAAATACAATATTCTGTTCAGGCAAGCATGGATATTCTTTTACAGTACAGTAAAACTTGAAAAGTGGTCATTGCATAAAGGTTAGTTCCAAGAAAGAATAACAAAGGTAGCATTATATTTTATCCTTCTGGGTGAAACAACCAAAAACCACCCCCCAAAACTGGGTTCCAAGGTAGGACATCAAGAGATTAGGAATATGGTAATGTGGGTCAACACAAAGAAATCATAAACATCATAAGGAAATAACACATAGGTAACTGTAATAGATTTTTAAAAGTTATTGAAATCTCTTTAGAAAACAGTTGGCTAAATAGAAGTATTAACACAGGTGGAGTTTATAATATGGAATATTTAAATACATGGCAATAGTGTAAAAGTAAGAGAAAAGATTTTGCACTCTTGCCATGTTTGAATCATTAGTCCCCAGCAACACTTTCCAAACTAGGGGTATTATGTTCTATTTTTTGGTACTTAAGGTTGAACCCAGGACCTTTACACATGTAGAATTATATTCCCAGCCCTGTTTGTTTCTGAGACAATATCGCTAAAATTGCCAAAGCTAGACCCAGTTTGGAACCCTCCTGTTTTAGCCTCCAGAGGGCTAGCATTTCAGCCGAGCACCTTCACTTCCACTTCTACATCTCCATTTACACAGTGTACTAGGGTTCTGCCCAGGAATAGAACCAGTCTGAATGCACAGTATTACTGGCTTGGTTTATAGGAGTGAGGGTTGGCTAGACTTGCAGTGGCTATGTACACACTGGAGAGCCAGGTAAATCAGTAGCTAATTAGTTTTAAAAAGCTGGACTCCTCAGAAGGACCAATGATAGGGTCCAGGCCAAAGCTGAATGTCTGGAAGCTCCCTAAAGAATAGCATGAGTTCCCATTCAAAGTAGGGGTCTGATGTAATGGGCAACAGCAGCAGAAACTGCACACTCAAAAAGAGCCCAGTTTGTATGAGTGGCCAAACTTCCCCTTTCTGCCTTTTGTTTTGTCTAGACCTCCAGCCTATTGACTGCTACCACCTGTATTCCAGTTCAGTCCTCCCCCTCATTACTGACCTGCATGCTGATGTGTTCTACTATTCTCTAGGCATCTCAGTGCAGTCAAGTTGACAACCAAGATCAGCCATCACCATACATTAACTGAATGATTGTTTAACATACTAATGGTGAAGGTTGCTCAATCTTCTGGTCACTACATAAATATACATGAGTCATGAGTGATCAATCATGTTGCTCCTTTCAAAATCTGTCACGGATTGGTTATTGCCTATTTACAATTCAGCTTGTACTCTGAAAGCAGAGTTTGTTGTATACTTTCATTTTCTCTTAGTCAAACTCATGACATTTAAAAAATGAAAACTTGAAATTACCTAATAAATATGAAAATGTATCACAAGCCAAAGTGTTCACGATGGAAGTGAAAAGTCCAACATAAATGGAGTTATAAAAGCAATAGTTGCTGATGAGAATGTTGGCACCTTTCAAAGGACTAAACAGTTAAAGGAGCTTAATGAGGACAAACCAGCATGACTGGAGTGATTGATTAAAAGAATGAGAATGGTCAGGTGTGGTGGCTCAGGTCAAGGCAGGAGGATCACTCGAGTTTGAGGCAACCTGGGTTATGTAGCAAGATGCAAGTTGTGGTCTCAAAAACCAAAAAACCTGCGCAGGCAGAGCGCAGTGGCCGGGGTTCAATCCCCAGTGTGGGTGCCGGCCCAGCCCCTCGAGTGAGCTGAGACTGAGCGTGGTGGTGCTTGCGAAGCTGAAAAGGAGAATCACTACAAGTCTGATCTATGTAGTGAGACCCTATAGACCCTGCACTAAATACAAAAAAAAAAAAAAAAGGTGTCTCAAAGGATGTGACACTGGCAAGACTGCGTTAGAGGAAATCTCAGCTACTTCGTAACATTAAAAAGTTTCAAATGTAGGACTTGAATAAGAATGCAACACCATGAAAGACTAAAGAGGCTTCATTTAAATTAGAGAAAGAAAAGCATTGTTAAAATACATGACTAATTGTTTTGCCAAAACAAACAAATGTTCTGTAGACATTTACCACTGACTTGGCGTCATAGAAGAATCGTCAAATTTCCCCTTGGTTTGAAGACTGCTTTGCATGGTTTTGGCTTTTTTTTTTTTTTTTTTTTTCTTTCCCTATATTTTAGGGAAGGGTCTACAGGGTATTCAGGGTCTCACTACTAGATCAGACTCAGTGATTCTCCTGTTTATAGCCTCCCAAGTACTGGGATTGCAGTGGTGCAGCACCACGCCCAGTCTCAATCACTGTCTCAGTGAGCTCCAGGGGCGGGGCCAGTACGGCAGGCCCAGGGATCAAACCCCCGGCCCTGGCCCATGTGCATGCTTGCAGGGTTTTGGCTTTTATGGCCATTTTTAAGTCCAGCAGCCCATGTATGATGTGAACTGCAGCAGCTTATACTATGTGTGAAGTCATATCATATAACTAACCTGTAGGTGAGCTGATAAATTGAAGACATACTATGAAGCCCTAAAGCAACTACTAAAGTAATTATATATAGTTGGAACTAGTAATCCAACCAGAAAATAAATTGGATAATAAAATTCCTAGTAGAAAATGGGAGTGGGACAGGGACAA